GCGAGGTGGCCGGCGCCGGGCTACCCACCAGGGGCGCCCGACGGCCCCAAACTCGTCAAAATACCACAGTCCTAGATTACAACCCCCTGCACTTCGAACGCCCGGTCGACGTAGGCGTCGAACGCCGCGTCGTCCATGAAATCAGGAGCCTCCCTCGCGCCCGTCGCGATGAACGCGTTGTGGGCGAGCACCTCCCGCGTGCTGTCCCGCGCCCATCGGCGCCACCGCCGCGCCCAGGCCGCCGGCGACGCGTCGCCCACCGCGTCCGCGAGGAGGTCGCGCTGGAGCGCGACGATCGCCGCGGCGTGCGCCGCGAAGCCGTCGGCGACCTCCGCCGCGCGGTCGCCGCCGCCGAGCGCGGCCGCGCACGCGCGAACGTCCGTGAGCGCGTCGAAGGGCAGCGCCACCGCCGCGTCCGCGAGCGCCGCGTCCGAAGCCCCCCGCAGCGCGGACCGCGCGGAGAACGCGTCGAGCGAGAAGACCGCGTGGTCGAGGCCCAGCGTGAGGTGGAGCGACGGGCGGCCGCCGGGGCGCGTCGCCCGGCCCGGCGACGGGCGGTCCGCCCCCAATAGCAGCGTATCCGTCGCGTGGGGCCAGCCCGCGGGCACGTAGACCACGTCGCCGGGCTCCACGACGACGTCGAGCGCGGGCGCGCCCAAAGCCTCGGGACGGAGCGGCTCCGGCCCCTTGCCGAGCGCGAGCGCGGCGCCGAGCGCGTCGCCGAGCGGCTTCGGCGGCCGCCACGCGCGCCATCGCTGCCGCCCCGTGCACTGGAGGCACACGACCTCCTGGAAGTCCGTGTGCGGCGGCGCGGCGACGGGTTCGCCCGCGCGCGTCGCGTAGCCGTTGATCGTCGACGGCAGCGCCAGCGCGTCGAGGGACGCGAGGGCGAGGGACGCGAGGGCCGGGACCTGTCCGACGCGCCGTTCAGCACGAGCGTGCCGCCGTCGTCGAGCGCGCGCGCGAGGCCGTCCGCCGCGCGGTACCCGCCGACCGCCCAGCCGCTGTCGGCGGACGGCGCGCTCCGGCTCGCGCCGAGGAAGCCGCCGGCGTCGACGTGGTCGTCGAAGTGGGCCAGCGAGAGGGATGCGACCTCCGGCGCGGCGGCGGGCAGGTGCGCCGCGGCGCGGGACCAGTGCGACCGCAGCTGCGGCGCGAGGCGCTCCATGAGCGCGCGCGAGGCCTGGGCGTCCAGCGCGCGCGATGGCGAGCAACACGAGAGCAGCAGCCACGCGCGCATCGTGCTACGACGCATCAGCTTCGATGCATCATGCTACGATGCACGCGCGCACCAGCACCATGCTCGGCGCTTCACTTGAAGTCAAGCATCGAGGGTGCAGTTCACCGTGCCGTCGACGACGTGTCAAGGCGAAGTTCAAGGCGACCACCTTAAGGCTACCTTAACGACCACCTTTTAATAACACAATCAGTCGAGCTCGTGGGGGTCGTCGCCCATGGGTACGGGCGTCGCCTTCTGCGGCTTGCGCTCGATCTTGAGGACCACGGGCCGGTCCGGGTGCGCGCCGTACGCGGCTTTGATGGCCGCGTCGCTGTCGACGGCCGTGCCGCCGACGGCGACGACGCGGTCGCCGACCTGCATGCACTTCTGCTCCGCCTCGCCGCCCGGCTGGAGGCCCTTGACCGTGCCGTCGGCGTTGAAGGCCAGGCCCAGCGACGGGCCGTCGAAGTAGACGTCGATCGTCGTCGGCGCCGGCCCCGGCGGCGGCGCGGGCTCCGGCTCGGGCTCGGGCTCGGGCTCGGGCTCGGGCTCGGGCTCCGCGTAGCCCGCCGGCGGGTCGCAGCCGACCCAGATGGCGGACGTGAAGTCCATGCCCTCGTCGTCGTCGCAGATCTCCAAAAGCACCTCGTCCGGGTCGCCCTCGAACTCGGGCTCCGGGGGCTTCTTCTTCCGCGACACCGTGAGCGTCAGCGGCCGCTCGGGGTGCGCGGCGACGGCGGCTTTGATCTCGTCCTCGCCGTTGCACCACGTGTCGCCGACGCGGATGACCTTGTCGGAATATTGCAAACCTTTTTCCTCGGCCTCGCCGCCGGGCTGGAGCATGCCCGGCGTGCCGTTGGGGCAGAAGGCGATGCCCAGCGTCGGCCCTTCGAAGGTGATCTTCGCGCGCCGCGAAGACGGGCGCCGCCGGCGCCGCGACGAACGCGAAGAGCGCGCCAAAGTAGGCGAAGCCCAGCGGCCGCGCGAAGGGCTTCTTCTCGTAGCCCGCCCAGGCCGCGAGGCCGATGGGGTCCAGGCGCCCGTCGGCCTTGACGAAGCTCTCGAGGGTCAGCACGTCGTCGGCCGCCGGGCTGGAGCATGCCCGGCGTGCCGTTGGGGCAGAACGCGATGCCGAGCGTCGGCCCCTCGAACGTGATGGTCTCGTGCGTGTTCGTCGGGTCGCCGGGCGGCGGGCCAGCGGGCTTCGGCGGCGGCGGCGGCGGCGCCTCGACGTCCGGCGCCTCCTTGGCCTCCTCGGCCTTCTTCGCCGCGGCCGGCGGCGCCGCCTGTTTCCGGGGCGCCTGCCGCTTCAGCTGCAAAGCCGTGTACGCGAGGTAGCCCAGGGCGCCCAGGACGACCACGAGCACGACGAGCAGCGCGATGAAGGCCGGCGACGACGTGTCGCCGAGCGACGCGAGCCCGAGCTCGTCGTCGCCGTCGTCGCCGTCGTCGCCGGCCGCGCGCGACTGCCGCTCCGCGCGCGTGATCGGCGCGCGCGTCGGCGGGAAGGACCGCGTCGGCAGCGCCGACGGCACCTGGGTCCGCACGACGCGCCGGATGCGCTCGATGACCACCGTCGCCTTTGGCACGTCGTCCATGCCGTTGCGGCTGCCCGTCGCGACGCCCTCGATGCGCTCGACGACGTCCATGCCCTCGACGACCGTCCCAAAGGCGCAGTACCCGTCCCGCCCCATGCCCGGGTCCAGCGAGCCGTTGTCCACCGTGTTGATGAAGAACTGGGACGTCGCGCTGTCGGGGTCGCCCGTGCGCGCCATCGCGATCGTGCCCTTGTCGTTGTCCAGACCCCGGTCGGCCTCGAGCGGGATGGGGTCGTTCGTGGGCTGCTTCTCGTACTGGCGGTCGTAGCCGCCCCCCTGGATCATGAAGCCCTTGATGACGCGGTGGAACACGAGCTCGTCGTAGTACTCGTCGTCGACGTAGCTCAGGAAGTTGTCGACGGTCGTCGGGACCTTGGTGTCCTCCAGCTCGATGACCACCGACCCGTAATTCTTCACGTCCATCTGGACGTAGGTCTTCTCGGAGGCGAGGCACGCCGGGACGAGGAGCAGCCACGACCGCATGGTGCCGGCAGCCGGAACGGCGCGTCCCGGGGCTGGCCCAGACTTTTGGGGGGTTCAACACGTCTGTAACCATCTTCAACGCTTTGACGTGCCGCTCGCGGCGCGATGAGGCGCCTTCTCTCGCTGCTGGCGCTGTCGTCCAATGCGCGCGCCTTCGCGCCGGCGCGGCGCCACATCACCGGTGCGACGCGCCTGAGCGCGACGCGCGGCGAGCTCGACGCGCTCACGGTGCCGCAGCTCAAGGAGCTGCTGCGTGCCGGCGGTTTCAAGGTCGGCGGCCGCAAGGCCGAGCTCATCGACCGCATCCTCGCCGGCGGAGGCGCCGCGCCGGCCGTGCTCATCGCCGCGTGCAAGAGCTGACAGGCCTTCGCCCGCGCCGCGGTGCGGCTCCAGACCCTCGTGCTCGAGGAGTCGCCGGAGACGGCGATCTGGGGGCGCGGCGCGGCTTCGACCCGCCGCGCGCGCTCGAGGATAAGCCGGTCAAGGGCAAGTTCAAGGTGACCGTCGTCACCGCGAGCGGCGACGTCGTCGTCGCGGAGACGGGCCCGGAGCCGCGGCCGTTCCCGGACCTCAAGGCCCTGGACCTCCCGTCCATCGCCGAGGACGTGCTCGACGTGCTCGACGCCCTCGAGGACGGCGGCGCGGACGAGCCGCGGCTCGCGAAGCGCGCGCGCCGCAGCGACGGCGAGCGGGACCTCGAGGACGTCGACGGCGGCGCGACGGTCGAGGCCGCGCCGCCCGCGCCGGCCTTCGAGCGCCTGACTTCGTGGCAGGACTCGGACGATTTCCTCACGTCCCGGGGCAACAAGTGAGCCCCCCCGAGCACCGTGGCCGCCTGGCTCCAGACGCGCGCGACCCGACCCGAATGACGCGGCGGACCCAGGTCATCCCTGGGCCCGCCGCCGAGAGACGTCGCGCCGCGCCGCGTACCCAAAGACCCACGCCACGCGGTAGTTACGACCGCGTCCGGCGCGCTATAGGACATGCGCCGGCCGCCCGCTCAGAACATGTTGTAGCCCGGCGCGGCGGCCGGCGCGGGCCGCTGCCAGGCGCCCGGCGGCGGCCGCCGGCCGACGGCGCCGAGGTCGAGGACGGGGTCGTCCGTCGACGGCCGGTTCGGGTCGTGGTCCTCGGGCCTTTTCGCCGGCTCCTTCGCCGCCGGCTTCTTCTTCTCGTCCTTCCTCTTCTCGTCCTTCTTCTCGGGCTTCTTCTTGGGCTCCTTGGGCGTGGGCACGACGTTGCGCGCCACGGGCTGGTGGTTGAACATGCCCCGGTTGTAGGTCACGGCCGTGCCGTCCTTGGGCACGTTGTTTCCGACGAACGCGGAGACGTGGCACAGCAGGTTCCGGTCGCGGCGCGTCTCGCCCTTGGGGCGGATGAAGCCGATGTTCTTGTCGCGGTTGAAGAAGAGGAGCTCGCCCTGCTCCAGCGGGTCCCCGGGCTTCGGGCCCGGCGCGAGCGCGCGGACCAGCGCCGTCGCCTCCTTCGGGGTGAAGCCGCGAGCGACGAAGTCGGACGCGGACATGACCTTGGCCCGGGCGAAGTCGACGCCCTGGCGCCGCAGGTGGCGCGCGTGCTGCTTGAGGTCGAGCTTCGTGAGCAGCTCCGCGAGCTCGTCGGCCTTGGGCGCCGCGGCGGCCGCCGGCGCCGGCTTCTCCTCCGCGGCCTTCTTCTTCTTGCCGCCGGCGGCGGGCGCCTCGGCGGCGGGCGTCTCCTCGACGGCCTTCTTCTCGCGGGCGCGCTCGCGCGCGCGGGCGCGCTTGCTCGTCTTCGGCGGCGACCCGGACGGCAGGAGCGCCGCGACGTCGTCGTCGCTCGAGTCCGACGACGACTCGGTCTTCTCCGGTTCGGCGCGCGCGGCCTGGACCCAGGCGCCGGGCGGCGGCGGCGGCGGCGCCTCGGGCTCGTCCTTCTTCTTCTTCTTCTTCTTCTTCTTCTTTTTGGCCTCCTTCTCCTCCTCCTCGTCGAGGAGCGCGAGGAGCTCGGCCTCCGCTTTCTCCGCGTCCGCGGCTTTCGCGGCCGCCGCGGCCTTGGACAGCTCCTGGGCCTTCTCCGACAGGAGGAGCAGCTTGCGCCGCCGCAGCCGGTCGCGCTTCTCCCGCGACTCGTCGGCGAGGGCGTCGAGGCGCGACTGGATGAAGTGCGGGCCGATCGTCGCCTTGAAGACCTCGATCGCGCCGTGCGTCGTCACGCCCGGGCCGAGGTGCGGCGCCTCCTTGCGCACGACCTCGAGGGCGTCGGCGCAGACGACCTCCGTGACCGCGGCGACCAGATCGTCCTCGCCGCCCATGGTGCCCAGCAGCTCGCGCGCCGCGTGGTGCGTCGCGCGCCGCTGGCTTTTCACCAAATCGAGGAGCACGTTGACGCTGCCCTTGAGCTGGCGGAGCCACTCCGTCGTGTGGGGCCGCCGCTTGTAGCCGTCCGACGCCTCGTCCCACTCGTGGACCTGGTGCGCGATGAGCAGGCACGCGACGTCGCGGAGCTCGATCGCGTCGCCGTCGGCCTCGAGGTCGACGAGCGCCTCGTCGGAGAACCCGAGCCGCTGCTTGATGTCCAGCGCGAGATCCTCCGACGCCGCATCCTTCCGCTTGAGCATGGCCACCAACCCCGGCGCGTCGAAGGGGTCGAAGAAGCGGTTCGGCGAATCGTTGCCGTCGTCGCAGACGCCCACCAGGCACAGCGTCTGGAGCGCGAAGTCGCCCAGCGGGCCCTCGGCGAAGACGGCGCGGCCCAGCGCCCGCAGCAGCGCCTTGGCGCACAGCGCCCAGTGGCCCTGGATGCAGTCCGAGCGCCGCTGCTTGAGCAGCGCGCGCGCGAACGCCGCGGCCATCGCGAACGTTTGCGTCGCGAAGACGCAGAGCTGCGCGCCCTTGCCCCGCTGGAACGTCTCCTTCGTGTCCAGGTCGACGACCTCGGCGCAGGCGTCGGCGAGCGCGGCGACGTGGGCCGACAGGTCCGGCGGCGCCGCCAGGTCCGCGCGCGCGCCGAGGCCTGCGTGGATTCCAACCGCTGGTTCGGGGGGTCCCCGCCAAACTTCAGAACTCTCGAGCTCCGTCAAATCGACGTCGATTCGGCTGTTTTTGGGACGAATCGATCGCTCTCGTCGAGTTCTCGAAGCACGGCAGAAAGCCTCGCGTCGAAACCGTTCGATTACGCGCACATTGAAGTCGGGTTGAAGATTTGATTTCCACGCAGGCCCAGACACGCGGTGTAGTCCTGGAAGACGATCGTCGCGGACATGAGCAGCTTGAAGTGGGCCTCGAAGTCGGCGCCGGCGTCGACCCAGGCGAAGAAGATCTCCGGGGCCACGAGACGGAGGAGCGCCTCCAGCGCGCCGCAGCGCTCGAGGCGCGCCCAGCTCTCGCGGTCCGACCGCCGTTCGCCGGACGTCGCGACGGTCACCTCGTCCACGAGACGCTGCGCCTGCGCGTTGAGCTCCTTCGTGTAGGGCGCCGCGCCGGGCTTCTCGCCGCACCGTTCGCTGACGACGAGCACGAGCGCGTGGAGGCCCGGGCGCGCGCGCGCGTCGGCCGTCGCGCGGGCCGCGCACGCCGCGAGGTGGCCCCCCGGGTCCGCGGCGCAGACCAGGGCGCCGCCGTCGTCGACGGCCGCCAGACCCCGCCGGAGCAGCGCCCCGGCGACGGCGACGGCGGCGGCCGCGTCGTCGTCGTCGTCGCAGAGCTCCGCGAGCGCGTCGACGGCCAGCGCGCGCAGCGTCGCGTCCTTCTCGCGCGCGACCGTGTCCACGAGCGTCGCCGTCACGCCCAGCGTCGCGAAGGCGCCGCGCGCCGCGCGCTTCGACCCGTCGGGCGAGCTCGGCGGCTCCGCGGCGAGCGAGAAGAGCGCCTCGACCGCCAACCGCCGCGCGGGCGCGAGCGGCCCCGCGGCCGGCGCCTTCAGGCCCAGGCGGAGCACCCAGAGCACGTCGTCGAAGCCCTCCAGCGCCGGCCGCTTCGCCTTGCTGTAGAAGAGGTGGTGCAGCAGCCACACGAGGTCCACGAAGACGCCGCTCCGGAAGTCGCGGTGCACGACCTGGGCAGCACAAGAGTGATTCAACGTCGCTTCAACGTGAGTGTTCCACGCGCGCGCGTTCCGGAAAAATCATCCACGCGTCGAGGCCGTTCCGAGAGATGATCGCTCGTCCAAAAATCAGCCGAAACGAGTGGAAAATAGCCGAGATCGGAGCCTTTGAAGTTGGGAATTTCGCTCTCTTGTGCTGCCCTGTGCACGACGAGCCGGTGCCGCGCGTCCGTCGTCGTCACGCCGCCCAGGAGCCCGCGGCGGAAGTTGGGCCGCCGGCCCAGGATCTCCCCCGCCAGCGCGAGCTGCTTCGGCGACAGCTCGTAGCCCGCCGCGAGGAGCGCCTTGAGGCCTAAGACCGCGCACCGCTGGCACGGCCGGCAACTCTCGTCCCCGAGCACGACCAGCAGCCGGCCGCTCGCGTCCTTGGCCTTGGTGAGCGCGTAGTCCCTGGCGCCGCTCAGGAGCGTCGCGCGGTAGAGCAGCGTCGCCTCGGACCGGTGGCCGCCCGTCGCGACGCGCAGCTCGGTCGTCGCCCGGTCGACGCACGCGCGGCCGACGGCCGCGAGCGCCGCGAGGCAGTGCCGCGAGTAGCGCCGGTCGACGAGACCCAGGTTCCGCAGATCCCCGAGGGCGCCGACCGCGTCCATCAAATCCTTCGACGACAGGTCCGGCCCGAGGAAGGAGAGGAGCGTGCTGATGAAGACGTCTTCGCCGCGCCGCGCACCGGCCCCGTCGGGGGCCGGGGCGTCTATCGATGCGTCCGCGGGCGCGCCGCCCCGGACCTCGCGCTTCGCCACCCCGCCTTTCGACGACGGGGACACGCCCATCGTCGAGGCGTCGCGCGCTCCGCCGAGGCCGCTCTCCACTGTTGTTTGCGAGAGCGCCGAGACCCGACGTCGATCGAGGAGGCCTTCGAGGCGTCCCGGCACGCTCCCGGACGACTGCGGCGCGCGTCGGACGCCGGCGCCCGACCTCTCGCGCGCGACACCTGTCTCCCGGGGCCAGCCCCCGCCGGAACCAAACTTTACGGGGCGAACTCCAGCGCGGCCGCGGCGCCCGCGATCAGCGCGACGACGCGCGCGGCGCCGCCCGCGTAGGCGCGCGACGCCACGAAGGACGCGTCCCGGCGGGCGCCGGCCCAGGCCGCGACCGCGTGGATCCAGTAGGCCGCGCTCAGCAGGAACGCGCCGCGGAAGCTCGCCGGTCCCAGCACCGCGACGTGCGTCCACCAGTAGCCCAAAAATCGAAACAACAGATGCATCCACATGCTCATGTCGAAGTCGCCCGCGTTGAAGAGCGCCTCGCAGAGTACGTAGCACGCCGCCGCGGCCGCGGGCAGCGCGATCGGCGCGCCGCCCGTCGTCCACAGCAGCAGGCCGAAGAGGCACCGCGCGCAGGCGAGGTCCGCGGCGTGGAGGGCGGAGCCGCGCACGCCCCGGCGCCAGTAGGCCGTGGACACGAGCGCCGTGACGAGCGTCGCCGCGGCCAGGAGCGTCTCTCGGCGGCCGTAGAGGCCGCCGAGGCTCGGGATGAGGAGCCAGAGGCTCGAGATGCCGAGGATGTACTGGTTGGCTTGCGGCCGGAGCTCCGCCATGAGCGTGCAGCGCGGGTCGCGATGCACGAATCACCACGGGCAGCTACGATGGGCAGCTATGGTGGCAGCGGGACGCGATGGGCAGCTACGATGGCAGCTATGGACGGGCCATCATCACTCGATGCACCATCCTTGACGTTGATGCAGTTCGGCATGGCGGCGAGCTCGAGTCGCTCGCGCGCGCGCTCAGCGATGCGAGTGCTCGCAGTGCTGGCCCTGTGCGTCGCGCCATCGACGAGCTTCGTCGTCGCGCCGCGACCGCGAGCGCCGCCGCCGCGCCTCGCGCTGCCGGGCGCGGTCGAGTTCGCGCTCCGGGGCAGGGCGCTGCCGCCGGAGGCCGTCGCCGCGCTCGTCTACGCCGCGCCGCTGCCGCCGCTGCGCGCGACGCTGCGGCGGCTCCGCGGGACGGCGTCGACCGTCGCGCCCGCGCCGCCGCGCGGCCGCTTCGCCGCGGCGTACGTCCTCGCCTTACTCGCGTACGCGCTCCGCGACGCGGCGCCCGCCTCCAAGGCCGCGTGCCTCTTCGCGGGCCTGCGCCTCGCGACGCGCCCGCCCTACGGCGCCGACGCGCGGACCGCGCCGGCCCGGCCGTCGCGCGCGGCGCACGCGGCCGCGGCCGTCGCGCTGGCCGGGACGCTCCACGCGGCGTCCCTCCACCGCGCGGCGCTCGCGGACGTCGCGCGCCGCGCGGGCGCCCAGATCGCGCTCTGGCTCGCCGCGCTCGACGCCTACTGCGCGCGCGTGCTGCCGACGAAGTTCTACGACGGCCACCTCTTCCGCTTCTTCTGGGGCCTCGGCATCGCGCTCACGGCCAACTTCTGGCTCACGGAGCTCGCGGCGAAGCGGGAGAAGTCGGACGATAAGGGGGATGTGTAGTTGCTTAGCGCAGATCAGCCATTTGCCCGAGTAGAGCGACCGCTTTCTCGAAGCCCTGGCACAGCCAGGCCAAAATTCCCGATCCCGCGTTCCGCGACGAATGAGGTCGCTCCCCGTACTCCTAAATACAATTCGGAGACTCTGAATTCATTTTAGAAGTTGCAGCGGCCTCCGCGCGCCCGCGCGCGCCGTCGAGGTCGCCCGCGGCGAACGCGCGCCGCGCGGCGCCGACGGCGCCCGCGGCGGCGCGCAGCGCGCGCGCCGCGGCCGTGCCGCAGCCGGGGGCCGCGCCCGCGTCGGCCGCGGGGCCGCCGTCGGCCGCCGACGCGTCGACGTCGCCGACGGACCCGCGCACGCGGCCCGCGCGGAGGCCCGCGACCGCCCCGGCGCGCGCCGCGCGGTCCCCCACGCCGCTTGGTTCGGCAGCAGGCTTTGCTAGTAGGACCCGGCGTAGGACATCTCATAGAGTCTCAAGCAGATGAGGTGAACCATAGCACTGGCGTTATAGGCTAGGTTAAGGAGGAGGAGGATACGGGGGATTGGTATCCTAGGGGATGACGCTGGGGGAATTGGGTCATCTGCTCCCCCGCCGCATGCGGGCGTATGGAGGGGGGTTCGCGATTTGATTAATCCGATGTGCCGGGATTACTACTCTATACGTAACGAACGCGCGCGCGCGCGTGCGTGCAAAATGGACGGTACATGGTCCAATCTCCTTAAAATTCAACAAAATTGCGAGCCGAAAGACGAGAATCACCCGGCTTTGATGCTTCTTGAATACCGGGACTGCGAAACCCCAAATATAGACGTGTTTGGGGCCCCTGCCAGGTAAGAAAATTTTTCGTTTCTTCAACTTAAAATTCAACAAAAAATTGATTTTCCCACACATTCTTCTGATTTATCGGCCCTATGGAGCCGTTCCCCGGTGAATTTCAGAACCGGAACGCTGCCCTGCCTCGGCGGGGCGTTAACCCACGCGTATGCCTGCGACGACCGCAGATCACCGAAGCATAACATATCCCGCCGGCGGTTAAGCAGAAATCAAAAACCTCGGGATGCAAAATCTGTAGCGGGGGGAGCGGGCGGCGCGCGGCGGGGCTTCCGCGCGCGTCTTCGGTCTTAGTTCGCCGCCTGCTCCTCCGGGAGCGGCTCGACGGTCTCGGCCGCCGGCGCGTCGCCGGCGGGCACGGACACGTCGACGTCCGTCGACGCGACGGAGTCCTCCTTGATGAGGTCGTTTCCTGCGACGCGCGGCGTCGGACGCGCGGACGCGGACCGAAACAGGCGCCGAAGGACGCGCGGAAGACGGCGAGGAGCGACGCGAAGAAGGCGTAGACGACGAAGAGGAAGAACGAGAACGTCGTGAAGGTGTCGTCCGCGGCCTTCTTCGACTCCTTGTCCTCGTCCTCGTTGCCCGACCATTGGCCGAAGATGGCGACCATCATGAGGCACTGGTTCGCCATGACCGTGACGACGCCGAGGAAGATGCCGATGGCGAAGCCCGTCTGGAACTTGCGCATGACGACCGTGCCGCCCACGGAGATGAAGAGGCAGAGGATCGTCGTCCAGACCGCCGCGAAGCCGAGCCCGCCCGTGCCCTTGCCCCGGTGCCGGTCCGCGACGACGGCCGCGGCGAAGAAGCTCGCGAGCACGAGCAGGATCGACGTGAACCACGCGTACGCGACGAACCTGCGGGCGCGCGCTCGAGCGGGCGGTGCGGGCGCGCGCGGCGGCCGGGCGGCGGTCGCGCCGGGGTCCATGTTTCGGCGGAATTGCGGCGACGCGGGCGCCGCGCTTCTTCGGGTTCTCCTTGAACGGGAAGCACAGGACATCGTGGATGAATTTCTCGGCTTTCTCCATAACTGTCCTCGGCGCGCGCTCCTGCGGCGCGGGTGGGGAGGTCGGCTGGGAGGCCTGGGATTTGAGGCCGGCGGGGACCGCGTGCGGTTGCGCGTTGGCGCTGAGCGTTTCCCGACTCGTTCGCGCGCCTCTCCAGCGCGCGCACGCACCGACGAGGAGTTGGATGCGGGCCCAGCCTCGGTTGTCGACGCGATGAGTGGCGGAGGTGTGGCCGTCGTTGTGGCAAAACTGAAGGCAAGGAGATCAAGGAGCTCGTTTGTTGACGCCGACCGCGCGGATGGGCCTCGGTCTCGGACATCGAACCGGACCCCCGCCGCTCACCTAAGCATGGCCGACGTCCCGATCGACCTCACGGACAACACCGATGAAATCGTAAATTTGACATCGCCGCGCAAGTCGCTGGCGCAGGAGGAGGACGAGCGCCTCTCCGCCGCGGCGGCAATCCTGCTCGCCTCCGTGCCGCCGGACACGCTGAAGCCCGGCAAGGCGCGGCGCCTCTGCCGCAAGCAGCTCGGCGATCCATCTCTAACCCCCGCGGCCGTCGCCGCGCGCGCGCGCGCGACCGTCGACGAGTCGCCCGGGGCGGGCGACGAGCCCGGCCTCGAGTGCGGCTGCTGCTTCTGCGAGACGCCCCTCCCCGAGCTCGTGCAGTGCTCCGAGGGCCACGTCTTCTGCCGCGACTGCCTCGCGGCCTACGCGCGCGAGCAGGTCTTCGGCGGCGGGCGCGCGCGGCTGGCGTGCATGTGCGCGGACGGCCCTCCGTGCCGGGGCCGGTTCGTCGAGTCGCAGCTCCGCGCGGCGCTGCCGCCGGAGCAGATGGCCAGGCTCGAGGAGACGGCGGCGGCCGAGGCCGCGCGGAGCGCGGCGCTGGACCTGCTGCGGTGCCCCGCGTGCGGCGTCCCCCACGAGAAGCCGTCGGGCGCGCGCCGCGTCGCCGTCTGCCCGCAGCGCGGCTGCGGCTACGAGAGCTGCGTCGCCTGCCGCGGCCCGGCGCACGGCGAGGACCCCTGCCCGCCGAGGAAGCGGGGCCGGGACGGCGGCGACGCCGAGGACGCGAAGCGGCTCCGCGTCGAGGAGGCGCTCACCAGGGCAGGACAAGAGAGCGAAATTCCAAACTTCAAAGCCTCATATCTCGGCCGTTTTGCACTCGTTTCGGCTGATTTTTGGACGAGCGATCATCTCTTGGAACGATCTCGAAGCGTGGACGCTTTTTTTGGAACGCGCGCGCGCGGAACACTCACGTTGAAGCGAAATTGAATCTCTCTTGTCCTGCCCAGGCGCTCACGGAGGCCAAGGTCCGGACCTGCCCGGCCTGCGGCGCCAAGTTCTTCAAGTCCGACGGCTGCAACAAGATGACCTGCGCCTGCGGCGCCTGGTCCTGCTACGTCTGCCGGGCGCCCATCCCGAAGGACGTGGGCTACAAGCACTTTTGCCAGACGCCGCACTGCGACCACTCGAAGTGCGGGAAATGCCGCCTCTACACGGACGACGCCGAGGACGAGCGCGCGGCCCTCGCCGAGGCCGCGGCGAAGGCGCGGGAGGAGTCGGGCGCGGACGCGTCCGTCGTCGAGGGCCTGCTCGACCAGGCCGCGGCGCCCGCGCGGCGGCCGCGGCGGCCGGGGCCCGTCATCGACTTCCGGGCCGCGCTCGACCAGGCGCGGCGCCGCCGCGCCATCCCCCGGCGGGGCCTCGACGCGCTCGACGCGCTCCGCGGCGGCGCGGGGCTCCGCGACGTGCTCGGCGGCGGCCGCGCGCTCGGCGGCGGCCACCGGCCGCCGCGCGGGCCGCCGCCGGTCGTGCCGCGCCAGATGCAGCCGCGGCGCGACCGGCGCCGCGACGAGCCGCGGCGCGACGACCGGCGCCGCGACGACCGGCGGCCCAGGGACGACCGGCGCCGGGCGGAGCCGCGGCGCGCGGCGCCGGCTCCGGCCTGGCCCGCGCGCGACGACGACGTCGACGACTTCGGCCCGCGGCCGGCGGCGGAGCCCATCGACCTGACGGACGAGCCGCCGACCTTCCGGCGCGCGGACCGCCGGCCCTACGCGCCGCCGCGCGACCCCTGGAACTAAGCATTTACTCGCGACAGCTCCCCGGCCCCGCCGGCGCGTCCCGCGCCTTCGCCGCGCGGACGCGGCCCGCGCCCACGCCGCGGCCGAGGAGCACGCAGCGGAACTCGAGGAGCCGCGCCTCGGTCCGCGCCGAGTAGCGCGCCGCGCGCGGGCTCCAGGCCCGCTCGGCGACGGCGGCCGCGCGCGGCCACGCCGTGCGCTCGAGCTCCGCGGCGTCGACCTTCTCGCCCCAGACCGCGGCCTGGGCAGCACAAGAGAGATTCAACGTCGCTTCAATGTGCGTGTTCCACGCGCGCGGGTTCCGGAAAAAGCATCCACGCTTCGAGACCGTTCCGAAAGATGATCGCTCGTCCAAAAATCAGCCGAAACGAGTGGACAACGGCCGAGATAGGAGCCTTTGAAGTTGGGCATGTCGCGCTCTTGTCCTGCCCAGACCGCGGCCTCGACGCCGAGCACGCGGCCGCAGGACGCGTCGCCGAGGTCGACGCAGGGCTCGAAGTCGTAGGCCCTGGACGGCGGCGTGTCCACGAGGCTCAGGTACGTCGCGTGCTGCGGCGACGCGATGACGTCGTGGCCCGCGTCCGCGGCGCGCGCGATGGTCTCGGCGATCGTGCGCCTGCCGACGGCGGCCCGCTCGCGCTTCCAGACCTGGACGACCGCGCGCGCGTCCGCCGCGCCGACCTCGTGGACGCGCGCGTCCGCCGCGCCGACCTCGTGGACGTCGTTCCACTGCACGGCGCGCCGCCCCGCCGCGCGCGCGGACGCCGCGGCCTTGGACGTGAAGCGCCGAAACGTTCCCGCCGCGTCGAGCCCCCGCTCCGCCATCCACGCGCGCGACGGCCCGTCCGCGTCCCAGCACTGGCGCTGCACCTCGTCGCCGCCCGCGTGGAGCAGGCCGTAGGGGAAGATCGCCGCGAGGGCCGCCAGCACGCCGTCGACCTACCAAGCACGTCGGTAACGATTTTTCATCTTTTCCCGGTGTCCAAAGCTCTCAAGAATTGTCACGGCCGCAGGACGCTGCCGTCGACCAACGCCTCCGTCTCCGCGCCCGGCCGCAGCGGCGGCTTGAAGCCGCCGTCCGGCGCGACGCACGAGGCGACGCACAGATGCGACGCGTTGCCGCGGCACCAGCTCGGCGCCGCGTGGCCCGGCGAGTCGGCCTCGGCCATGACGGCGACGCCGCGCAGGCGGCCGTACTCGACGAGGCGCGCCATGTCGTCGACGGTGTAGGCCTCGCGCCAACTCCACGGCTTCAACGACGGGAAGCCCGGGAGGCGCAGCGGGAAGGACTCGTGGTCGCTCAGGTGGAGGTGGAGCACGTTCAGCTTCGTGTAGCTCATGGCGTCGACGGTCCGCTCCAGCAGGCGCGGCGGCAGGAAGTGGCGCGCCGCGTCCACGAGGAGGCCCCGATGCGCGAAGCGCGGCGCGTCTCGCACCTTGAACGGCGACGGCAGGAAGTAGCCGTCGCTGCCGAAGGCGCCGAAGATCACGGCCTGGCTCAGCGTCTCGAGCGCCCGCAGCGCGCCGAAGACCGTGCGGCTCCGCGCGCGCACCGCGGCGCCGTCCTCCGCGTGCGAGAGCTCGTAGCTCTCGTCGACGGCCGACCAGTCCGCCGGGTAGGCCTCGGACGCGTTGGCGACGACGACATCGATGCGCCGCACGCCCCGCGCGACGGGCCGCGGGCCGCGCGCGAAGATGAGCGCGCGGTAGCGCTCCACGGCGGCGCGGAGCGTCTCGCAGCGCGGGTGCGACAGGCGCCACTCGGCGTCGCTGCTGACGGCCACGATGCCGCTGCCCGCGTGCATGTGGGCCGGCGCCGGCCAGATCGTCGTGGCGCGCGCGTTGAGCAGCAGCAGCAGCCATGCTGCTACGCGCATCACGAGATGGGCAGCCTCTCCATTGTCCCGTCTTTGAATGTTCAATTCAGGTTCAACTTCAAGAATCCTCCGCCCGGCCCGGGCAGCCCGCAAAACATTATGGCCCGGCCGTAAGAATGGTCCAGGACGCCGAATGGGCCGCCGAGCCCTGCAGCGCGGTCCCGTCTTTGAATGTTCAATTCAGGTTCAACTTCAAGAATCCTCCGCCCGGCCCGGGCAGCCCGCAAAACATTATGGCCCGGCCGTAAGAATGGTCCAGGACGCCGAATGGGCCGCCGAGCCCTGCAGCGAGCGGTGGTCGCCGAACCGGCGGCCCTGCCCCTTCTACCAGTGCGGCCGCGACTGCGAGCGGACCTGGGCTTCCGAGGCCGGCGACCTCTACGTCGTGTGCCGCGCGGCCATGCTCGCGTATTTGACGGGCGTCGTGCTCTACCTCACCTATCTCCTCCACGGGAGCCGGCGGGAGCGGCGCCGCGAGGGCCGGCGCAAGGAATCGTGGAACGCGCTCGAACACCTGACCGCGTGCTTCCTGATGGCGACGGTCGTCCAACTGGTCGCGTGGTACGACGTCGACGGCTTCGGTGGCCACACAAAAGGCGTGCTCAACGACTTCCTGCCGAACGTCATACGACTCTTCTTCGAGCTGGGCCTCTTCCGCGCGTGCGAGACCTATCGAGTCGCCCTCGACGGCATGCTCCACCGGCAGAAGGCCGGCGGCGACACCTGGCGGTCGTCGGTCTACAAGCGCCTGTCGACGAACGCGTCCCAGATGCTCAAGGGCTTCGGCCGCGGCGCGTCGCGCGACACCGACGCGATGCTCCGGCGCGAGCCGGCGACGACGTTTCGCGTCGTCGTCGCGTCGCTCGCGGCGGCGGCCTGGGGCCTCGGCTTCGCCGTCTACAACCAGCGGAACCCGAATCTGAGGGACGCGCGCGGCGCCTGCTGGGGCCTCGCGAAGAACACGGCGTACCACGTCGGGTCCTGCGTGTTGGAAGTATCGTTCCTCGGGGAGACGCTCGCGTACTCGTACCGCGTGCGCGCGCGGCTCCGCGGCGCCGTGGACCTGAGCGGCGGCCCGTCGGCGCGGACGACGTCGGCCATCGCGCTCATCGGCTACCGCATCTGCTTCATGCAGTTCGCGCTCGCGTCGAACGTGGCGTGGGGCGCGAACGTCGTCCACCGAAACCTGATCGACGGGAAGGTGCGGTCCGCGTTGTGCTTCCAGCCGCCCTGCACGACGGCGGCGGCGCTCCAGTGGCTGAGCGGCTACTTCGTCTTCGGCGCGCTGTCGGGCCTCGCGTGCCTCGCGCTGCGGCGGCCGCCGGAGATCGCGCGGCACATCGCCCGGGGCCTGAAGGAGATCCCGAGCCTCGTCCACGACATCTCGGACAAGGCCTGCGCGCGCGGCGTCGACGACGACTCGCAGGACTACATCCGCGAGAAGGCGTCGTCGGCGTCCTCCGGGGGGCCGCGAAGCCCGCCGCGCCTCATGGCGGAGCCCATCCCCGAGGAGGGCGACGACGGCGACGGCGACGGCGAGCTCGACGACGACGGCGACGGCGACGTCGAGCTCGCGGACCTCCCCACGGACGGCGGCGTCGCGGGCGCGTAGTAGTTATTGGCGCGCGTTCCTCGGCGAGAGCAGGATGACCTCGTCGTCGTCGGAGTCGCCGTCGAGCTCGGGGTGGCGCAGCGGCGAAATCGCCGCGTCGCCGAGCTCGGGGTGGCGCGCCGTGCCGTCGAGCTCGGGGTGGCCGGACGGCGGCGCGCCGTCCTCGTCGCACGTGAGGATCTCGAGCCAGAGCTCGAAGATGCCCGGCTCGCCGTCGCTCGCGAGGTCGTCCTCGGCGAGGAGGTCCTCGGCCTCCTCGTCCGTCAGCAGGCCGCGCGACACGGCGACGTCCAGCAGCGCGGCGCAGCGCGCGGGCTCCGGGAGCGCCTCGATGGTCTCGCGGAGCGGCCGCTCGAGCGGAGGCCAACCGACGACGTCCACCTCGGGCAGCGGCGGCGGCGGCGGCGGCGGCGGCCGGGGCTTCTGGCGCAGGCTCACCTGTGCGGGCACGAGCGCCGCGGCGGAGAACGGCGACGACCGGGCGGAGGATGAAGAAGACGCGTCCGCGGACGACCGCGGCGACGACTGGCCCGAGCTGCCCTCGCCCTCCTCCTCCTCCTCCTCCTCCTCGGCGCCGGGGCCCTTGATGAAAAAGGAGGAGTCGAGGTAGACGAGGCCGTCGGCGGCCGCCTCCAGGTCCGGGCTCAGCGAGTGGGACCAGGCCGCGACGAGGAGCGTCGCGCCCGCTCTATGCACCGCGCGCGCGAGCGGCGCAAAGTCGCCGTCGCCGGCGACCAAAAGCAGCGCCGGCGCGCCGTCGGACGCGCTGTGGGAGTAGAGCATCTCGAGCGCGCGGCAGGCGATGTCGACGTCGACGCCCGCCTGGCGCCTTACGCGCACGGGCGTCGACAGCGGGCCCCGGTGCGGGCACTTGGCGTCGCAGCAGTCGCGGTTCCGGCAGACGACCTCGTCGACCTTGATGCGCGAGAACGACGTCTCGAAGCCCGCGCGGTTCAGCGACCGCTCGAGCTCCTTGCCGCCCGAGTCCATGCGGCCGTCGCGCGCGCCGCACCACACCGACTGCACGACGCGCCGCTCGAAGGCGGCCTCGAGGCGCCGGCGCAGCTGCCGCGGCCGCAGGGCCTTGAGCTCGCGCGACGACCAGCCGTTCAAATCGCTCGTCTCGTCGTGCTTCGCGCGCCGCGCGCCGACGTGCACGTAGGCCGCGTCGACGACGAGGTAGGCCATGGCCGTGTGGCTTTGTGGCTTTGTGGTGCGGCGGGGCCGCGCGCGCGGTGCGGCGCGGCCGCGCGTGTGTGGTGCGGCGCCTCGGGGTGGCTGCGCGCGCGGTCCGCACCGGCCGGCGGGCACGACGAAGTAGCCTCGACGTGACGAGGCGCCAAGCCGATCGACTCCGCTTCGAGAGCTGCTTCGAGGAAGCATGCGGCACTTCGCCATGTTGCAGTCCGCCGGGCGCTCAGGCTCGTGCGCGTAGCAGCAGCCCGAACACGAGTCTCCTCGTTGCACTCTTTGCGTTCGTCCGCTTGGCCGACGCGCCTCAGACCGGGCAACTGCCCCAAGTCGCTCGTTTTTTGTCGCCGCGCTCGGCGCGGCGCGCGTGGAGGCAGAGTGTGAGGACGACGATTCTGCGGCCTTCTTGCTGGACGCACCTTTCTCTGCTCGGCCCTATCCACGAGCCTGGAGGCGCCATCCATCCCAGGCGCGCTGGGCGGACGGCAACTTTCGACGATGCACTTGCCGCGGAGCTGGAAAGCTTGTCGATGCGTCGACGCCAAGTGAACATGGCGCGAGCGCTGTGGCTCGCCATGTTGGCCAGCGTCACCGACACGCTCGCGCCGCCGAGGCGCATCCCGCGCCTGCTTTTGGTCGACTGCTTCGACTCCTACACGCAGAACGTCGCCGGCTGGCTCGCGGAGGCGAGCCACGCGCGCCACGGCGGCGACGGCCCCGTCGCCGCGCACTGGCCCGACGTCGTGGCCCACGACGACCCGGCGTTGCTCGGCGCCCTGTCCGGCGACTTTTTGGCCGAGCGCTACGACGCGCTCGTGCTGTCGCCGGGGCCCGGCCACCCGTCCGAGGCGGCGTCGTTCGAAGGCACGGCCGCGGGCGCGGCGCTCCGCTGCGCGCCCGCGGGCCTGCCCGTGCTCGGCGTCTGCCTCGGCCACCAGGGCCTGGCGCTGCACCACGGCCTCGCCGTCGAGCGCCTCGGCGCGCCGCAGCACGGCCTCGTCGCGGAGGTCGCCCACGACGACGGCTCGAGGCTCTTCGCGGGCATGCCCCAGCGCTTCCGCGCGACGCGCTACCACTCGCTGACCGTCGCCGAGCCGCCGGCGGACTCCGAGCTCCGGGTCACGGCGCGCTGCTCGGCGAGCGGCGACGTCCTCGCGCTCGAGCACGGCTCCGCGCCGCGCTTCGGCGTGCAGTTCCACCCGGAGTCCGTCGCGACGCCCCTCGGCCGCGCCATCGCGACGAACTTCCTCGACGTCGTCGAGGCGGCGATGGCGCCCGGGGCGCCGACATCCCCGGCGCCGCCGCCGCCGCCGGAACGTATCGAAAAATCGACGTCGGAGTTCGAGATCCGCGCGACGCGCGCGCCGCTCGCGTCGCCCGCCGACGACGCGGCGGCGGCGTGCTACCGCGAGCTCTTCTACGGCGGCGCGGGCAGCTTCTGGCTCGACGGCGGCGGCTCCGCGGCGTCGCGCGTCGCCGTCGTCGGCGACGGCGCGGGCCCTTTGGGGTACGCGCTCACGCACGACGCGCGGCCCGGCGGCGGCGCGACGACCTGGCACGGCGGGCGGGCCGGGACGACGGCGGCGCCGCTGCTGGAGACGCTGCGGGCCGAGCTGGCGAAACTCGAGGGGCTCGCCGTCGTCGACCGCGCGAACGGCACGACGCTGGCGCCGCCGTTCGACTTCGCGCTGGGCTTCGTGGGCTACCTGGGCTACGAGATGCGCCGGGAGACGGCGGACTACAGCCCCGCGAGCGAGGCGCTGCCGCGGGACCGCGCCGACGAGCCCGACGCGGCCTTCGTGTTCGCGACGCGCGCCGTCGTCGTCGACGCCTGGGACGGCGCGGCCTGGATTTTGGAGCTCTCAAAAACCGGCGCCCCGCTGGACGACGCCTGGCACGACCGCGCGCTCGCCGTGCTGCGGGACGCGCCGGCGCCGGCCGACGCGCCGCCGGCGGACGTGTCCGTGCGGCCGCGCGTCGACGGCGAAGCCTACGGGAGACAAATAGAATCCGCGCTCGCGTCGATCCGCAGGGGCGACTCCTACGAGATCTGTTTGACGACGTCCTTCGGCGGCACCGTGCCGCCGCGCACGGACCCGCTGGCCGTCTACGAGCGGCTGCGATCGGGCAACCCGGCGCCGCACTCCGCGTTTTTAGATCTGCGGGCCGAGGCGGACTGCGCGGTCTGCTGCTCGTCGCCGGAGCGGTTCCTCAAGGTGACGCCCGGCGGGCGCGTCGAGGCCAAGCCCATCAAGGGCACGGCCGCGCGGTCCGATGACGCGGGCGAGGACCGGAGGCGGGCGGACGCGTTGCGGAACTGCGTGAAATCGCGCGCGGAGAATTTGATGATCGCGGACCTGCTGCGCAACGACCTCGCGCGGTCCTGCGAGCCGGGCAGCGTGCGCGTGCCCAAGCTCGCCGCCGTCGAGTCCTTCGCGACCGTGCACCAGCTCGTGACGACGGTCCGGGGAGACCTCGCGGCCGGCAACAACGCGCTCGACGCGGTCGCCGCGGCGTTCCCGCCGGGGTCCATGACGGGCGCGCCGAAGCGGCGCACGACGGAGCTCATCGACGCCCTCGAGCGGCGGGACCGCGGCGCCTACGCGGGCGCGCTCGGGTTCTTCTCGCCGAACGGCGCCGCGGATCTGAACGTCGTCATCCGCACGGCCGTGCTCTCGTCGCTGGCGTCGCGCGCGCCGCGCGTCGAGATCGCCGCCGGCGGCGCGCTGACGGCGCTCTCCGACGTCGCCGACGAGTGGGCCGAGGTCACGCTCAAGGCCGACGCGGTCCGCGCCGCGCTCGCGGCGGGAGCCCGGGTCGCGCGGCCGTCGAACGTGACCTTCGCGCGCTAACACCCACCAATTACCCGGCGAGGGGGATGTCCTGGAGCTCTCGTCGCGAGCAGAGGTACTCGCCGAGGACGATCATGACGACGAGCGCGGACCCGTGGCAGAGCCACCACGTCCAGTGCGGCAGCTCGAGCTCGCTGTAGGCGAGGCAGGCGGCGAGGTGGCAGGCGTGCATGGTCACGGCGAAGTCGAGGCACTTGCGCGACTTCTCGACGACGACGGCGAGGAGAAACGCGCCCGCGAGGCCGCCGACGAGGACGCCGAGGACCTCGAGGCCCGCGGACGTCGTCTCGAAGTCGAACTTCTGGCCCGTCGAGAAGAAGCGGTCCATGGACAGCGGCAGCCCGTAGAGCAGGTGGCAGCAGATGAAGTAGGCGCCCAGCAGCGCGTAGTAGAGGCACTGCAGCGCGGCGATCTCGAGGCAGATGAGCAGCGGGTCGTGTTTCTTCATCTTGCTGAACATAGAACGCGGCGCCTCCTCGTCCGTTCCCGTGTCGGGCCGGCGGCGCGCCCCGCGCCTGTAGGTCCAGATACGAGCAATGCTGGCGCGCGGAGTGTGGCGGGTCGCGGTCGACGCGGCGGCGGTGCGAGCTCTTGTGGACACGGCTCGGACAAAAGACGCATTCCTTCTTGAAAGTGCTTGAGCCTCCCCATCGTGTTGTTCGGGGCTCTCCCGCGCCGTTGCTCCACGCCCATGCACTCGTCGCACCTGGCCGAGTGGTTCGCGGCGCCCCGGAGCTCGTCCTCCCCGCCGAGCTCGTCGTCGGCGGCCCGGCGCCTCGACGCCGACGCGCTCCTCGGCGTCTGCGACATGCTGGCCCTGCCCGGCGTCGGCGCGGCCGCGGGCGTCGCCAAGTGCTGGGCGGCGGCGGCGGCCGCGAGCGCCGCCGGGCGGACGGCGGAGCTCGGCGAGCTGCTGCGGGCGCGCGTCAACGGGCTGCGCGCGTCGTTCGCGGACGTGGGGTGCGAGGGCTGCCCCGCCGCGGTCCACGGGCCCCTGCCCCGCGAGGAGCGGCGCTACAACCTCTGGTCCTACGGCTCGTCCCGCGAGCTCCGCAAGGCCCTCGCGAACGAGGAGTCGCTCTTTCCCCTCGTGCAGACGGTGTGCGCGTCGCACCGGGGCCGCGCCGAGGCCGCGCTCCGCCTCGTGGTGCGGCTCCAGGACCTCCTCAAGGCGCCGGTCTACATCGAGCACCGCGTCGAGGCGCACCCCCACGACCAGCGCTCCGTGACGAGCCTCTACGTCCACAAGGCGCGGCTCCGCGTGAACATAACGACGGTCATCTAGGTCGATCGTCGCGGTTTCTCTGCCGTTTCTCCGCGGGCCCGCCGCCCCCACGACGGCGCGAAAGCGAAGAGCTGTCAATTTAGGCAGAGGGCGTCGGAGCCCCCGGCGGGCGCGGCCGTCACGCGCCGCGGCCGCATCGCTTCCGGAACCAGTTGGGCACGCAGCTCACGCGCTCGCGCCGCCGCCGCGGGAAGGCCTCGTCGCGGAAGAAGGACTCGGAGCGGCTCAGGCCCAGGTCGCCGAGGCCCAGCGCCTCGAGCGCGCAGTTTTGCTCGTGCCTCGCCAACGCCGACGCGGTCAGCCGCGTGCCCCCGCCGTCGTCCGGCGCGTCGTCGCCGTCGAAGGCGCTCGCGGGACCCAGCGAGTGCAGCTCGAGGTCCACGGACGTCTTGCACCGTCGCAAGCTAGAGTACTTTGTGGATCTGCTCGACCGCGACTCGTCAAATTCAGCGACCGCCGCGTCGTCGCGCGACCGCGATTTTTCCTGGGACGACGCCGAGCCCTCGTTCCACGCGGCTCGTCTCAGGAGGACTGTGAGCATGGCGTTTGGGATGCGGCGAAGCTGCGGCACCCTCGCGCTTCCCTCGCAGGGCGCCAAGTTCGGCGCCTGCTGTTCGGCACCATCAAGATCGGCGCACGTTTGCCGCAACATGCAGCTGAGGACTCCTCCTGCACGCGTGTTACCCAAGCATGAGGCGGCGACGCATGTCCGCCGCGCTCGGCAAGGCGGGCGGCGGCGGCGGCGGCGCGTCCGCCAACGCGGCGACGTCCTCCTCCCCCATCACCTCCACGAACAGCGCCTTCGTCGGGCTGTCCAAGCCCGGGTGGTCGACGCCGCGCATGACGAGCTCGTCCGAGTCGTCGGAGTCGTAGTCGTCGGCCCGGGGCAGGTACGCGGTGTTGCACTCGCCCGTCAGCACGACGTAGGCGTCGCGGCCCGGCAGTCGGACCGCCGCGGCGCTCGACCGTACCGCGGCGCACGGCAGGTCGTACGCCGGCGCGAGCGCGGGCGTCGACGACGGGAGCGATTCTGTGATTGGCCTTACGTCCGAGTCGCCACTGACGCCGCGGTCGACGTCCAGCGCGACGACGCGCGGGTCCGGGTCCTCGCTGTTCGACGAGCCGCCAAAGAGGAGCACGTGGCGCGCGACCGGAAGGCAGCAGCCCGTGCGCACCGCTGGCGCGTCCGCGGTTGGCTGCTGAAATTCGAGGAAGACCGGCCAGGGGGAGGGTTCGTGGCACCCGGGTTCGTCTTCGGGTTGCCACACATTGACGACGTCGACGTCTCCGCGCATCTCGTCACCGTCAGCGCTCCGGACCGCGCCCCCTACGAGGAAGAGGCGACCCATCCGTGCCGAGTCGCGGAAGAACGCGGCGCCGTGCCCCGCGCGCTCGACGAAGCTGCCGATGAAGTTCCACGCGAGTGTCTCGACGTCCAGGAGCCACGTATCTGCGAGACAGCGGTTCGCCAATCCGCCGTAGACCACGAGATGCCGGTCGGATATGAGCGTCGCGCTGTGGAACGCTCGCGCCACCGGCTTCGCCCCAAAAGGGCGCCTCACGCTCCCTGTCGTCGGCGGCGAGGACCACGTCGGGACGCCGGCCTCGTCGAAGTCCACGAACCACGGGTCCATGCTCAGCGTCTCGTCGCCCCAGCCGCCGATGACGACGCCGCGCGCGCCGAGCGACGTGAAAGTGTGGCCGCGGCGCGGCTGCGGCCACGGGCCGGGGCCCCTCTCGACCGCGACGACGCTCACGGGCGTCGGATGCGGTCCCGGCGGCGCGCGGACCTCGAAGAGGTCGTCGAGCACGGGGCCGATGTTGCCCCGGTACGTGCCGCCGAAGAGGTACGCGCGGCCGGCGACGGCGGCGGCCGCCGCGCCCGTGCGGTGCAGGATCCGCCGGTCCGCGCAGTTGACGTGGACGGGCTGGAAGCGGAGCATCGCGCACGCGCGGAGCGCCGCGTAGCGCTTCGCGAGGGGCCCGGCGGCGCTCCCGGCCCGCGAGCCGAGCAATTCGAGCTTCGACCGCCAGAGCGTCCGCGCCGACGCCTCGTCGGCCTCGCGGAAGGCGACGCGCTGCGCGCGCTTGCAGGCGGCGCCGAAGGCGCCGATGGTCGGCACGTCGACGAAATGGAGGACGAGGACCTGGAGATCGCTGCTGCACGCGTTGACCCAGTCCACGGGAGGCATGGTGTTTTTGGAGCGACGCGCGTTCTAGGCCGGGCTCACCGAGCTCATAAGCAGCCCCTTCCGCCGAGCATCAACGTCGTCCTTGCCGCTCTCCTTGACGCGGCCTTGGCAGCGAGTACTGAGGAGCTCGACGACCGCACTGCGCGCGCGCCACCGCCGCGCGACCCCGCGCCGCCGCCGCCGCCGCGCCGCGACCCGCCGCGACCCGCGCCGCCGCCGGAACCGGTCTCAAACCCCGCGACGGCGCCATGGGCGGCTCGAGCAAGCTCGACAAGCTCAAGGCGCTGCAAAAGGAGGGGAAGAAGGGCATCGTCGTCGACAAGACGTTCGGCATGAAGAACAAGAAGGGCAAGAAGGCCCAGGACATGGCGAAGCAGATCGCCACGAGCAAGGCGGCCGCCGCGAACTACGACCCCGAGAAGGCGAAGCGCGAGAAGAAGAACGCGAAGATCGCGCGCATCGAGCAGGAGATGGAGCTCAAGGCGCTCTTCAGCGAGGGTTTAAGTATTACGGTCAAGAAGAAGGACCTGCACAAGAAGAAGACGGGCGCCGAGTCGTCCGGCGGCGGCGGCGGCGGCGGCGCGGGCGTCCACTACGACGACGCGTGGGCCGAGTCCGAGCTCGCCAAGGCGGGCCAGTCCGCGCCCGGCGGGCAGCTGACGCTCGAGCAGCGCATCGAGCAGAAGCGCAAGGAGCTCGCGGCGAGCGGCAAGAAGGGCACGCCCGTGACGCCCGAGACGTTCGCCAAGTGGAAGGCGGCGAAGGCGGCCAAACTCCTCAAGGAGAAGCTCGCGGCGGCCAAGGCCGAGGAGCTCAAGAAGAAGGGCGGCAAGTCCGTCCTCTCCGGCAAGGACTTGTACGCGCTGAAGAAGGACCTCTTCGTCGACGACGCGGAGGCCGACGACGGGCCCATCGAGCGCGAGAAGGAGGCCGCGGACGAGGGCTACGACGAGAACGGCGCGGCGTTGGACCAGGAGGAGAGCAGGCCAGTCGACGCCGCGGGCGTCGAGGTCACCATCGACGGCGCGGCGACGGCCGTCAACGCCGCGCTCTACGGCGGCGACGACGGCATCGACGACCTCGACGACCTCGACGACCTCGACGACGACTAGGGGTGCTCGGGGTTAATGGTTCCTAACTAGTGCCCTTTGTTCTCGTTGTGTGTGGGGTATGTGCCCCGCGGGGGATTTTGGAACGGAAAGTGAACGCACCTATTTTTTTAGCGACTTCACGAGCACAACAACGTGAAGTAGTAGTCGGTTAGAGAAGCAGCCCACGGGTCTTCGGGGAAGATGTCAGGCGCGCTCCTCCTCCTCGCACTCGCGCCTCTCGTCGGCGGCCGGCGGCCGCGGCGCCTCGAGAAGCTCGCGTCGGACTACGACTCTCTCGTGAGCGCCGTCGCGCACGACGAGACGACGAGCACGGTGCGCGTGAAGCTGGCCGACAGCGCCACGCCCGTGCCCCTGGAGCACGCCGTCGGCGGCGCGCCGCGGCGGACCTTCCGCCCCGCGGGCGTCCACGAGGCGCGGCACGTCGCCGCGGGGCTCGACCGCTGGTGGAGCTTCACGTTCCCCGACGCGGCGCTCGCGTTGGAAGCGCTGGAGGCGATGCTCGACGACGAGCTGCTCGAGGGTGACATCACGACCTGCGAGCTCGCCATGAAGGTGAATGTGTTAGCCCCGCCGCCCGGTGGGGGCGGCGGCGGCGGCGGCGGCCGGCCGCCGAAGCCGAAGCCCCGGCCTCATCCGACGACGGCGCCGACGCCGGCGCCGGAGGTCTCGTCCGACGACGGCCCCGGCGACCCGTCCGCCACCTACGAGGACCCGGACGACCCCTACTACGACCTCTACCAGAAGAGTGTCTTCGAGAGCCTCCGGGTCCCCGACGCGTGGGCGCTCGGCGCCGGCCGGACGGACGTCGTCGTCCAGATCATCGACACGGGCTCCCAGTGGCACGCGGACCTCGTCGGCAACCGCTGGGAAAACGCCGGCGAGGTCTGCGGCAACGGCCTCGACGACGACGGCAACGGCTACGTCGACGACTGCTACGGCTACAACCACGCGGACGGCCACGGCGGCGACGACCTGTCCACGTACAACAGCCACGGCGTCCACTGCGCGGGCAACGTCGCGGCGAGCACGAACAACGGCGTCGGGATCGCCGGCGTCGCCGGCGACGGCAGCGTGACGATCATGACGTCCGTCCTCTTCGGCAACACGGCGACGACGGGCGACGCGGAGGCGCTGGTCTACGGCGCGGACAACGGCGCCCACGTCTCGTCCAACTCCTGGGGCTGGCTCGGCAGCACGAGCTTCTACGGCGGGGCCGTCCAGGACGCCGTCGACTACGCGACGGACCTGGGCGTCGTCGTCCTCGCCGCCGCGGGCAACGACGACGACGACAACTGGCACTGGCCCGCGCGCTACGACCGCGTCTACGCCGTCGCCGCGACGGACGCGACCGGCGCCAAGGCGTCCTTCTCCAACTACGGCGACTGGGTCGACTTCGCCGCGCCGGGCGAATCCATCGTCTCGCTCGTCAACGACGGCGGCTACTCGGCCATGTCGGGCACGTCCATGTCGACGCCCTTGGTGGCGGGCATCGTCGCCTTCGGCCTGAGCCTCACGAACGACGCGGCGCTCGTGAACCGCACGCTCGTGCGCAAGTGCCTCCGCGACACCGCCCTGGACGTCGGCGACCTCAACAGCCGCGAGATCGGCAAGTACGTCCAGGCCGACGGCTTCGTCGCGTGCGTCTCCGACATCGACACGCCGTCGTCCCCGCCGTCGACGACGCCGCGGCCGACGGCACTCGAGACCGCCGCGCCGACGGACGCGTTCTGCACGGAGTTCGTCCTCGCGGGCGGCGACGCGTACAACGACGACAAGATGGGCACCTACGCGGTCCTGCCGGGCGAGTTCTGCGGCGGCAAGCACAAGTACCGCTGCGTCGACTGCGCCTACGAGCTGGACCTGAACGCGTACTACTACTCGGGCTATCCGCTCTGGGCCATCGGCGAGAAGGACTGCGGCGACCTCAACGTCTGGTTCTACAGCCTCTCCGGCGCGGAGACGCCGGACCTCTCCACGGAGACGTGGTACGAGGAGGCCGCCGAGCTCTCGGCCTTTTACCCGAACGCCGGCCTGACGCTGACCTGCGCGAGCTACGCGCACGGTTCGACGGACGCGCCGAGCGCCGTGCCGACGAGCGAGCCGACTCCCGCGCCAGCCGCCGCGCCCGACGCGCCCAGCGCCGTTCCGACGAGCGAACCGACGCCCGCGCCGCTCGCCGCGCCCACGGCGACGAAGGCGCCGAACGCGACCGCGGATCTCTCGCCGACGTACGCGCCGACCCGAATCCCGACGTCCGAGCCGACGCCCGCGCCGACGCCGCGGCCGACCTACGCGCCCTCGCTCGCGCGCCCCACGTACAACACCAGCGCGCCGACGCCGGTCAGCGCCGCGCCGTCGCTCGCGCCGTCGGGGGCGCCCGTCGCGGCGCCCACGACGCCGCGGCCGTCGTCGACGCCGAAGCCGACGGCGTCCTACTGCACGGCGTTCGTGCTCTCCGGCGGGTTCTCCTACAACTCCGGCAAGCTGGGCACGTACCGCGCCACCGGCGACTTCTGCGACGGGAGGCCCGTCTACGCGTGCGTCGACTGCGCCTACGAGCTCGAGCTCACGGCGTTCTACTACGCCGGCTACCCGCTCTGGGCCATCGGCGAGAACGGCTGCGGCGACCTCGACGTCTGGTTCTACAGCCCGTCGACGGCGGCGACGCCGGACCTCGCGGACGGCTGGTACGAGGAGACGGACGCGACGTCGCAATTCGCCTTCAACGGCGACCTGGCGCTCACCTGCGTGAGCTACGACCTCGGCGTCCCCGCGCCGACGGGCGCCCCGACGCCGCGGCCCCGGCCGACGCCGACGACGCGGCCGACGTCGCCGGCGCCCGAGCCCGCGCCGACGGCGATCGCCGCCGCGGCGCCGACGGCGGCGGCGGGCTACGACCCGTCGCCCGTCCCCGCGCCCGCGCCGTCGCCCGCGCCCACCGCGCCGACGCCGGCGCCGTCGCTCGCGCCCGCGCCCGCGCCGTCGGCGGCGCCCGCGCCCGCGCCGACGACGGCCGCGCCTTCGGAGGCGCCCACGGCGGCGCCGGTCCCCGCGCCGACGACGGCCGCGCCGTCGCCCGCGCCGACGCCGCGCCCGTCCGTCGCGCCCTCGACGGCCCGGCCCTCGGCGGCGCCGCGGCCGGCCCCGACGCCGGCGCCGGTCACTCCCGCCCCGACGCCGCGGCCGACGGCGCCGCCCGCGCCCGCGCCGACGTCGAGTTGCCGCGACTCGACGAGCTGGTACCGCACCGTGCGACGGAAGGACTGCGCGTACGTCGCGCGGCACCCAACGAAGATGTGCGGCACGAGGGGCGTCGACGACGTGCGCGCGGAGGACGCCTGCCCCGCGGCGTGCGGCGCCTGCGACGACGACGCGACCGTAGCGCCGACATCGGCCTCGTCGGACGAGTGCTCCGACAGCGCGTCGTGGTACTACAAGAAGAGCAAGAAGACGTGCGCCACCTTCGTGAGCAAGAAGCCGAAGAAGAATTGCAAGCGCAAGGGCGTGGACGACGTGCGCGGTCGCGACGCCTGTCCAGCGACGTGCGGCGGCTGCGACGCCGGCGACGAGGCGGACGACGCCGAGTGCCAGGACTCGTCGAGCTGGTACTCCAAAAAATCCAAGAACGGGTGCGACTGGGCGAGCAAGAAGTCCAAGAACTGCAAGAAGAAGGACGAGTTCAAGGTCAAGGCCCTCGAAGCCTGTCCCGCGACGTGCGGCGCGTGCGGAGACTAACGACGGCAGGCGTAGTCGGGCCGGGGGCGCTTCTCGATGCGTCTCTCTCCCCCGGACGGGGCTCGGGCTTCCCCCACTCACAAGCGCCCACCGCATTACAGGAAGTACTCCGGCACGGGGCTCTTCTGGGGCACGCCGCGCAGCTCCTGGGCCGCGGCCTCGAAGATCTGGAAGTTGCGGCCGAGGTCGTCGTCGAGCTCGAGGATCGCGGCGACGTTGCCGCAGCGGTAGCAGTAGTTCGGCGCGGACCAGACCGTCACCAGGGTCGCGTTGAAGAGGGGCTTGTGGCCCTCCATGACGAGCTGGTGCGCGCGCGCGATCAACGTCAGCCGGTTCGCGGCGTTGAACTTCTCGACGACGTCGCCGCCGAAGAGGTAGCCCGCGCCTACGACGCAGGGACGGTCGCGCAAACGCATAGAACGGCCGGACTTCCAAACATCCAAGGATGCGGTCAGATCAGATATTTGGTATGTTTTTTTGGCAAATGTCGTCACGCGGCGCCGTTTTGGTCGCTCGGAATAGCGCGAGTCTACCTCCCTCCGCACGAAAACACGAAAGAAAGAGGACGCCGCCAAAGCACCTCGCGGCGAGAGGCCCCAGCCCGCGATCTCCTCCGGGTCGGACCACATCAGATCGCACATCGCGCCGTCGTGCGGCACCTCCTGCTTGCGGTCGATGGTGCGGATCTGGTCGAGCGTGTTGATGGACGGGCTCAGGCCCCCGTGGACGCAGAAGACGCTGTCGTCGACGATGGCCGACAGGCTCAGGAAGTCGAAGACCTCCGTGCAGTACTTCCAGACGTTGACGGAACCGTACTTTCGCAGGCACTCGTCGTAGAAGCCGTAGACCTGCGTGATCTGGCGGCTCTCGTGGTTGCCGCGGATCAGCGTGATGCGGTCCGGGTGCCGGACCTTCAACGCCAGCAACAGCAGGAAGGTCTCGACGGAGTAGTGGCCGCGGTCGACGAAGTCGCCGAGGAAGAGGTAGTTCCTCCCCGGGCAGTCGCCGCCGACGCGGAACAGCTCCAGCAGGTCGTAGAACTGGCCGTGGATGTCGCCGCAGATCGTCACGGGCGCGTCCACGCGCTGCACGTTGCTCTCGTCGACCTGCGAGGACGCGCGCGTCTCGGACCGCGTTCGAACCGAGCGGCGCGCGGCGCGCGCGGCGCGCGCGCCGCGGGGACGAGGGTCCCGCGGGGCGCGCGCGCGCGCACGACGCGCGCGCGGCGGCGGCGGCCCCGGCGCGGCGGACGCGGCGGCGCGCGAGGATCTCCTTGGCCATCTCGCAGAGCACGCGCACCTCATTCTCGTCGAGCACGTCGCAGTTGCGCAGCTGCGCGATGGCCTTGTCGAGGTCGAGTGTCGGCATGCCCGGCGCGGGCGCGGCGCGCCGCGAGCGTTCGCGTGTGGCGCTCCGGCGGTGTCTCGCGAGCCCACTCGACTTTCCTGTTGGTGCCGCGCCGGCGGCGGCGCAGTCGTCTCTCGTCGCTCTGCACCTCGCCGGAATGTTGGCAATGCCCCGACAAAGTGCCTGCAACCTCGACCTCGCAGCTTCCAAACGATGCCGATGTCTCTCGAGTAGGCAGCCCGCCGCTGCACAAAACGCGCCATGGCCGACGACGCGGGCCCCGCCGGCGGCGTGTCCGTCATGCTGCGCATCCGGCCGCGCAACGCGAAGGAGCAGGAGGGCGACGACTGCTGGAGCTGGAGCGACGACGCCATCGTCGAGGTGGGCCCGTCGGGCAACAAGCGCTACGCCTACGACCGCTGCTTCGCGCCCGGCGTCGGGAACAAGGAGGTCTACGAGTGCTGCGGCAAGCCCGTCGTCGCCGGCGCCCTCCGGGGCGTCAACGGGACCATCTTCACGTACGGGCAGACCGGCTCGGGCAAGACGCACAGCATCCTCGGCGTGCCGAGCGACCCGGGCATCCTCCAGCGCACGGTCGCCGACATCTTCGCCGCCGTCGACGAGCGGCCGGACTCGAACTGGACCGTGCGCGTGAGCTACATGGAGGTCTACAACGAGGAGATCAACGACCTGCTCGCCGCGGCGGACGGCGACGACAAGCGCCGGGGCAAGAACCTCAAGATCGTCAGCGACGACCCGGTCAAGGGCGCCGTCATCGCGGGCCTCTCGGAGACGGCCGTCGAGCACGCGACGGCGCTGCTCGACGTCATCCGGAGCGGCGAGAGCCAGGGCAGCACAAGAGAGCGAAATTCCCAACGTCAAAGGCTCATATCTCGGCCATTTTCCACTCGTTTCGGCTGATCTTTGGACGAGCGATCATCTCTCGGAACGGCCTCGACGCGTGGATGCCTTTTTTGGAACGCGCGCGCGCGGAACACTCACGTTGAAGCGACTTGAATCACTCTTGTGCTGCCCAGGCGAGAGCGCGCGCGCCTACGGGTCCACGGAGATGAACGACAAGAGCTCGCGGTCCCACACGATCTGCAAGCTCTCCATCGACAGCGAGGAGACCTTCGAGGGCGACGGCGACGACGACCTGAGCCGCCGCGTCGTCAAGCGCGCGGCGTGCCTGAGCCTCGTGGATCTCGCGGGCAGCGAGCGGCAGAAGTCGACGGGCGCGTCGGGCGCGCGGCTCAAGGAGGGGTCGAACATCAACCGGAGCCTGCTCACGCTCGGCCGCGTCATCAACAAGCTCACGGAGCAGGCGAACCGGGACCAGCGCGAGAAGCGCCGCGAGCACCGGCGGTCGCTCGCGGCCGCGGCCGACCGGCCGCCCGACAAAAAGCCACCCGCGCGCGCGTCGTTCCACCACGGCGCGCGGCACCGCGCCGCGAGCCACGGCGGCGACGAGGTCATCATCCCCTACCGCGAGTCCAAGCTCACGCGCATCCTGAAGCAGTCGCTCGGCGGCAACGCGCGGACGACGATCCTGTGCACGATGACGACGGCGCCCGTGCACCTCGACGAGTCGCTGTCGACGCTGCGCTTCGGCCAGCTCTGCAAGCTCATCAAGAACGCGGCCCAGGAGAACGTGCAGATGACCGACAAGATGGTCGCGGCCAGGGCAGCAAAAGAGAGCGACATGCCCAACTTCAAAGGCTCCTTTCTCGGCCGGTTTCCACTCGTTTCGGCTGATTTTTGGACGAGCGATCATCTCTCGGAACGGTCTCGAAGCGTGGATGCTATGTCCGGAAAACGCGCGCGCCAAACACGCACAATGAAGCGACGTTGAATCACTCTTTTCCCGCCCAGGTCGCGGCGCGGCTCCAGCAGGAGGTGTCGGACCTGAAGCAGGAGCTGTCGCGCGTCAAGAGCGCGGTGGCGGAGCACGGCGGCGAGGACTTCGCGAACCTCGTCGAGGGCCACGAGACGTCGGCCTTCGCCGTCGTCGCGAAGCGCGAGCGCGAGCACTCGGGGGAATTAGAGGCGCGGCTGCACCACGTCACGAAAGAAAAGGAGGTCCTGGACGACGTCGTCCACGGGTTGCGCCAGCAGCTCCTGGACCACGACCGCGAGCTCAGCGAGAAGGCGCGGGCCGCGCTCGAGGCGAAGGAGCGCGACTGCGAGGCGAAGATCAGTGTGGAAACCAACCACTGGTTCAGGGAGTCCTGACCAAACTTCAAACAATTCTATCTCGGTCAAATCGAAGTCGATTCGGCTGATTTTTGGACGAATCGATTCCTCTCCTCGAGTTCTCTAGGCACAGCCAAAGAGCTTGCGTCGAAACGTTCGCATACGCTCACATTGAAGTCGGGTTGAAGATTTGGTTTCCACACAGGCGAAGATCGAAGAAGCGGAGAAGGCGACGGCGGACCTCGGCGTGCGCAAGAAGCAGCTCAAGGAGCAGAAGCAGCACGCCCAGACCCTGGTCGCCGACCTCGACTCGCGCGAGAACGCCATCCGGCGGCGCTGCGTCCTCATCGCCAAGGCCCAGGACGCCTTCGCGGCCGCGGCGGCCGCCGTGTCGCGCGAGAAGGCCGCGGCCGTCGACGCGCGGACCGACGCCCAATCGAAGCTCGCCGCCGCCGGCGACGCCGCGGCGACGGCGTCAAATGCCCTCGCCGCCGCCCGGCAGGAGCGCTCCGCCTGCGCGGCGTCGGCCGACGCCGTCGCCGTCGAGCTCGACCGCGCCGACGCGGCGCGGCGCCGCGTGGCACTCACATCTTCAACCCGACTTCAATGTGCGCGTGTTTGAAGGTTTCGACGCAAGCGCTTCGGCTGGGCTACGAGAACTCGATGCGAGCAATCGGTCCGTCCAAAAATCAGCCGAATCGACTTCGAGTTGACCGAGCTCGAGAATTCCAAAGTTTGGTCGGGACGTCCCGAACCGGCGGTTGATTCCCACGCAGGCGCGGCGCGCGCTCGAGGGCCGCGAGGCGACGTGCGTCGAGCGCGAGCACACGGTGAAGCGCAACCTGAAGCGCGTGGCCCTGGAGCTCGACGCGACGCGCGTCGAGCGCGACGACGCCGCGCGCGTCGCCGAGACCGCGGCGCGCGAGGTCGACGCGGCCGCGGCCGCGAACGCCGCGGCGGGCGCGCTGCTGGGCGAGGCCATGATGAAGCACGCCATGGCGACCATCGAGGCGAACCGCGCCAAGGACGCCAGGGCCGAGCTGCTGGCCCGCGAGGAGGCCTGCGAGTCCTTCTGCGACGCGCTCGAGGACCGCGAGGCCGCGCTCGCGGAGCGGCTCGCGGACGTGGAGCGGCGGGAGCCGCGGCTCCGCGACGTCGAGGACCGCGAGCGCGTCCTCGTGGCGGCGGAGGCGGACCTGCTGGCGCGGCGCCGGGGCCTGGAGGCGGAGCTCGCGGCGATCCGGGACACGCACGCGCTCCAGCTCAAGAACACGGACGACGTGTTGGGCGAGCAGCTCGAGGCGGCCAAGGCCTCGCATCGGGACCTCAAGGCGGCCCGCGCGGCGCTCGACAAAGCGGACGAGACGCGCGACGCCGCCGCGGCCGCGGCCGCGGCCGCCGCCGCCGCGCGGGAACGGAACGCGAGCCGGCGGAAGCTCCGCGCGCTCCAGGGCAGGAAAAGGGTGATTCAACGTCGCTTCAACGTGAATGTTCCGCGCGTGCGCGGTCCGGAACAATCATCCACGCTTCGAGACCGTTCCGATAGATGATCGCTTGTCCAAAAGTCAGCCGAAACGAGCGGAAAACGACCGAGATAGGAGCCTTTGAAGTTGGGAATTTCGCACCCTTTTCCTGCCCAGGCGCGCTCGACGACGCGCGGCGCGAGGCCGAGGAGGCCCTGGCGCACCGGCCGCCGGCGACCATCGACAAGA